CCATTTGTCTAATCAGTAATGTAAACAGTGTCGTTCTGGACATGAAACCTAAATGTAAGTGTAGCGGCACTCCAGCTCCTTTAGTTTCTTCTGTACCGTATGAAAAAACAGTCTAGCAACCAGTAGTGAAACGGGAGCAATTCCAGATAATGTTCTTCATCTTGTGATGCTTATTAAACGAAAACAAAAATAAGAGAACATCCACATTCTACCGAAGAGGATTAGGGCCACTGAAAAAAAAAAAAAAAAAAAAGGTTAACTGATTTTTACATTTTATTTCAGTTTAGTATTGGAAAAATGTCAGAATTTTCTCAGTTTTCTCAGAATTCTGACTTTAATCTGAGAATTCTGACTTTTTTCTCAGAATTCTGACAGCTAACAATCATGTTAGCATCAAGCCATAGCCATGTCTGTTTTAGAGACTAGCTCTCTTGTTTTAATGACCTTCTGCTCCTCCATTAATGAGGGGACCCCTCGGGCACAAAAAAAGACGCCTAATTCCGTCATTTTCCACCAATGGCCACCTCAAACAACTCACATCTTTGTCAGTGAAGCTGAGTGCTCCCACATCTCTTCCCTCATGGTGCCCATCTACATTAAGATCCAAAATTCTGAGATTAAAGTCAGAATTCTGAGAAAAAAGTCAGAATTCTGACTTTAATCTCAGAATTCTGACTTTGTTTCCCATGTTAAACTGAAATAAAATTTAAAAATCAGTTAACTTTTTTTTTTTTTTCCAGTGGCTCTAATCCTCTTCCGTAACATTCTCATAATATAAACTCGATCAAAAACTGTGTTGCTTCCAGCATATCCGTTTTCCCTCTCAGTCCTTACGTACAGTACGTAAAAGCAAACCAAAAAAAAACATATACAATTACAGCATGCAAGAAGCCCAAAAATATGCATTTCAAATTGCATTTCTATATTTTATGCTTTTAATATTAGAGTTTTTAAACTTAAATCATAATCTCAACAAAAAAATTATCAATTTTGCATTTTAACCCTTTTTAAAACTATAAATGAATTTGTCTCAAATTGGCTCTTACAGTAAGTCATCAAATGCAGAATATTTAGCTTTCTCTGTTTATAAATATGAAAGGTTTAATGAGCTGTGAAATGAAGTGAAAACACTTGCTTGTCGTCGTCCGTGAACAAGACCAAAGCTTCGCCCCATGATCTATTCATTGTTAATTAACGCAGTTGGCTGGAAAACATAACTTTTTCTTGGCATCTACAGTTTGCTGATGAAGATTCTCAGTCATCCAGGTCATAGTCATTCTGTAAAAGTTCAAAAATAATTCCACTGGACTTGGTTTCCAAGATTTGAAGACGTTTCGCCACCTCTCCAGGAAGCTTTCTCAATTCAATTTTTTTTTTTTACTTTTACGGGATATCTACAGTTAAATTCTCTAATTTTATATGATGACATTTCTTGTTTTTCTTTAGTTGTGGCAAATTATGCTTCATGAACATTTCCTAAGAATCTTTTCTCCCACTGAGGGTGTTTACCCAGACGTTTCTTCTTCTTTTGCAGTGTTCAGATCTATAAGCTACAGGGGATTTAAACGTTTTCCAGAACAATCAGTCGTCCTCGGCAGATGGCCGCTCACACTGAGCCTGGTTCTGCTGGAGGTTTCTTCCTGTTAAAAGGGAGTTTTTCCTCTCCACTGTCGCTACAAGCATGCTTAGTGTGAGGGATTGCATTTGTGTCAATGAGTCGATTAAATCAACTGATTTTCCTTAGATAGAAAACTTTGAATCAATTTGACTGGATGATCTGGTTGAACTGTAAAGTGCATTGAGATGACATGTGCTGTGAAGCGTTGCTATATAAATAAACTGAATTTAGTTTAATTTAAATTCTTGTATTCTGAATAACAGTTGTGAATTTCTTCCATATGTGTGCGGAGTTAACCGTTAGACCACAATTTAAGCTTGAAACCCACTTTCATCTGCTGTCCTCCTAAACCACTGCCAGTTGGGCGTGTGTTCACAGAATAACAGATTTTCCAAAAGTTATTTGATTAAATATCAAAAATATCAAATCAAGTCACAACACCTCTGATGCCTTTGCAGGAGAACTGGGTTTAGAGTTGGACTCCACTGAGTTGTTGGGCAGCAGAGTAGAGCAGAGCTCTAAAACTCGAAGTTGACGGAGGCAGAGGCAAGGGGTTGCGAAATTTCTTTCTTAAAGGTGCGCTGTCATATTATATGATCGTTTATTTTTAAATGTAAAAAAAAACAAAGACTACTGCGTCCTCCTGGCGTCTTATTTGCAGTTGTGTTTGTTTGACGTTTTTGGTCAGTTTTTTTGTAAATAAAGCCCTTGTTGTATACCAACCCTAACAACGTGTTATTACTGCCAATAGATGGCGCCACATTTGTTGATGTCTGCTCATTGCACCCAGTGCTGGAATTCTATTTAGGCTCAAAGGACAATCAAAACATGATAAGGATGGACGCTTGGTGCATATCACCTTTTGTAATCATTATTAAATGCTTTTTGCTCTTATAAGTATAGGCACATAACTTGACTATGAACCTTTAAAGCATGGCGCACTAACATTCGGTCAACTTCCTCTGGATATTTGGATTTCAGTGGATTTTTTACTGAAGCCTGAGAAGCTGCTACAAATATGGACTAATCTGGATGCTTCACTGTTTGCCTCACAAAGAACTCAAGCAGGGTTCCTACAGCATAAGGCAAGTTAAATTCAAGACTTTTTAAGACTTTTTAATGCCACTTGAAATAAAAATTTAAGACCAAATTTACAAGAAACACAAGAAAAACCTACTTGCGACAACTTAACCCAAAGGTTTATTTTAACATAAACCACTGCACTAATGTTTCACATTTTGAAAAGCTTCCCAAACAGGAAGAAAGCTAAAAACACACAAATGACAGATATATTTTAACAATTATTTAACTGAATTCACAAACTTTGTTTTAGCAGAGAACAAAACAAATCAGTTTTAAAGCCACAAGATAACCAGTGCCAAGTCTTTTTGCAATTATTTTTTCTTTGTATCGTTTTCTTAGTATGTTTGATTTGGTGATAAGTGGAGGCGTTGCAGAGACAAGGGTGGAACAAAACTGAGAAATACCGGCTGTTTCTCTGTAACTCCATTTTGACGCTTTGTGTTTCACGCTTTGCATGTTTGACTCCACTGCCTTAATTCCCATCGTTCCGAGCCTAAATGACTTCTTGCACAAAATCCACTGAGCCTCATGTATGTTCCCTGGTTTTAGCCATGGAGAAAACTCTTGGCTGGAGCCAATTTTGGTTACATTTACACTTGCTCATATTTTCCAGACCAAAAGTTAATAGTGCATCTCCCAAATGTCCCGAACGTAACAACGCTTTATTGGTTGCGCTATCGGGACGGAACCAATAATGGCGAGCTGGTTTTTTTTGTTTTTTTTAATAATACTATTTTTTTTTTTTTTTTTTTTACGTTTTATTTAGATTACAAAAATAAATCGTAATAAAAATAATCCTATTATGATGTTTTAAAAATTAAGGCCTATGAAAGACTGATTTAAGACATTTTAATACCAATTAAGGCCTTAGTTTTATTTTGAAGAATTCAATGCCTTTTAATACTTTTTAAGGACCCGTGGGAACCCTGTCAAGTGTTCAACTTTTCCTCTACAGACAAATTATTTTCCAGATGCTGTCTAACTTACAAACATATTGTTAGCTATGCCCACATTTGTTTTTATGGAATTGAAATCCATCCTTTTTTTCTTTTTTACCTAAAGCCACGTTTTAACCTATTTAGGGGTATGCTTAGGCACTCTATTGATTTTATATGTTGATGTGTAAAGATGTTGCTCGTTTTTTTTCTTTTCTTCTTATGATTCATTTTGTTTACTGCACAAAAAAGCCTCCCTGCTGCAAAACACCCCCACCGCCGGGGGTTCTGGATTTGAATCCTAAAAATAAAATCCCTCTGCTTCGTATTTAGGCCTTACTTCTTGTTGGTTTATTGGATAGAAATAACAATTAAGTTATTGTCAGTTTGTAAGGCTTTTTACACCCTGTCTGAATTATATGTGTTAAGGGTTCTTTTATGTTTGGTAAGAAAACTGAGAAACGCTCAGTGTTCAGTCCTTAGTATCGACCTCCTTGGTTTTGGGAAAGTTTTCAGAACCACCACAGTGTTTCAGGAAGCCTTTAAAAGCCCAAATAAGTAGATATCAAAGCTACTTGTTATCCTAATCATTTGCTCTTTTAAAATTTCATTTAGCATGACCTTTTGTTATTCACTTTCTAACTATCCAATTTGCTGTCAGGACAGCAAAATAAGTCGCTGGGTGTTAATGAAAGAGAAATTAATTTGTCACGTCAGGGAAAAGATTAACAAAGGATTCAGTGATTCTAATTCATCCTCTGTGCAAGACAGACCGCAGATAAAAAAAAAAAAAAAACAACACACACACACACACACACACACACATCCTTATTTGCATACATCCCCCAAAAGACCGCTTTAGTTCGGCAGCGGAAAAATACGCGCATGTAATATTTAAAACAATTACCCCAAACGTTTGACAGATCCTGATTTATATTCTGTCCAAACGAAACATGTTTGTTTATCCGTAGGTTCTCAGGAGGGCGCAGCCCATTTACGGAGCAGTGAAGAGAAACAAACTGCGGTTCAATACAGCCCAAGTCTGGTTTTCATAACAAGAATAAGGCAGGATGCGTTTGAGGCTCCTCCATCTAAGATCTCTGGGAAAAAACACCACCTCGATCCCCCCTGCTGTGCACGAGCCACAGCAGCATGATCTAGAAGCCTGCATTCGACTAAAACTCAAAAAGTTTTTTTTATTTATCTTTTTAGGTGTCGTTGAAATGCAGCACAGGCAAAGAGAAACAGCTTGATTGGAAAAGAGATAGGCAGACTGCTTCAGTCCTAGTCAAACTTTCATACACAGCTTCATCTCGCTGGGTTGGCATCGCAGAAATGAAGCATGACAACATGAGAGGACTCACTGCTGAAACGGGATGAAATGCTGTTTGTCCTCATCGTCTACTTTGCCATGGGCGATATCCGTTACGTCCATCACTGCAACGACAAACACATGAGAAGGATCACAGCGGAGTTTAGACACCATCCAAGGCAAACATTTATTTTCCAACTTTTAATAGCCCTACAGTTTGTTTTTATTATAACTCTGGGAACACTTTTCTACACTTTTACAAGGGGGGCTTTGCCAGCATACTGTGCCAGCCACACTGGCTGGCAGCCATGGTAAGAATGTCTAAAATAAGATTCAAAACACAAATCTAACCATCTTTTTCTGCAGCAGCAGAATCTCGCACCAGAAAATAGAAATTAAGAAAAGATTGTTTTAAATAAAATCATTAGTAATGTGATACAACCAGAAAAAATGTGGAAAAACTAGAGATGCACGATATAATCGGCCCCCTATCGGTATCGGCCTTAAAACTGAATATCGGACATCGGCCACCTCACCGATATTTAACCCGATATTTGATCAGCTTCTGAGTTTCTAAAGTCTAAAAAAAAATAAAAAATACTACTTCTTCTTCCTCAAAAACTTCTTTTTTACAGACTTAAAAACTTCTAAAGACGAGGGAAAAAATATTGATACATTAAAATATCCCAATATCTTCATATGCTGATATATTGCCATTTAAACACACCATATCAATCTCTTTTACTAATGAAATATTGCTATATGTCATCGTTATGCTACGAAATCCCCCGAAAATTCACAAAATTTTGCCATATTTTTATATGTTGATATATTGACGAGCTATCGATCTATTTTACTAACAAAATCTCACAAGAATTTGCAAAATATCACGAGAGTTTGTAACAGAACGATGAAATTTCACGAGATTTTCAAAGTAAAATAGATCGATACCTCGTTTTTAAAAATCAATTTGATATCAGCATATGAAAATATATTTGAGTATATTATTTTTCAAAGTGTCAGAAATGGATAACAGAACTGCTATTTTCAATGACTACTTATTTTTGTCCAGCTTTAACATCGATATCGATATCGGTTATCGGCTGCATGAGTTTTAAAATATCGGCATATCGGATATCGGCCAAAATCCCAATATTGTGCATCCCTACTAGAGAGTTTGACAATTTAGTAAATCAGATGTGTTTATCTTCATAAGTAAGGAAGGGTTAGATCAGGGGTCGGCAACCCAAACTGCTCAAAGAGCCATATTGGACCAAAAAAAACAAAAAATAAATCTGTCTGGAGCCGCAAAAATGTAAGTCTTATACATGCCTCTTATGGAAACATGGGCTCTAAGTGTATCATCCCACTATAGAAAATGACTATGAGGGCTTAAGTATATAATAAGCATTCATGATTAAATGTTTATCCTCCAGCAAATGTCACATAGCAGCATGCTATGTGACGCGCCGCTTAACCGCCCTTCACCGCGCGGTTTAAGTTTTGTTACATTGATGAAATTATAGAAACACGATAAAGGAATCTTTCTACGGTGGACGTGTTTCTGTTGGGAGTTTATTGAGTCATGAGGAACCAAGCAGGAAGTGACATCCATCAGAGCAGAGCTCTCTAACCCTGAAATCCCACATCACCATCGTTCCTTGGTGTGATTTATAGCTTTAGGATTTGGGGAAAAAAATGGAAGAAAGTTCCCATCCCTGCATCAGAGCTCTACCTGTTTGCTCTGTGGACGGTTTTCCATCCTTGCAACAAAACTGGCAGCAGTAGTGGAGTTTGGAGATGTAATCCACTTCTTAAATCTATATTTGCTCTCCTCTAATTTATCCAGAAGTTCTGCAAACACACTTTTTCTCTCCCTCCCACCTTTGTGATCAGCTGCATATTTGGCTTGCCTTCCCTGGAAATGCCTTTCCAAATTTTTATTTTTTGCCAACCTCTCATTACCAAGCAAAAATGCAGGCAATCCTTCCGCATTAATAATGAAAGAAAATGATTCGGTCCATCCTTTGAATCCTCTTTTCTCATCAGCTATCTTCCTTTTTTCCCCTTTGGGATCCATGGTCCAAGACACTCCAGCAGCCTTGTTTGCCTGGCACTGCGCAAGTTATGACCACTGATCTCTATGGCTATGACGCAAATTATTGTTTAAATTTATTTATTATACAAATATTTACAGCATTGGAAAGCATAATTATTTTTTGTTCGACCTCCTGCACACCATATTAAATTTCATAAATTTTTGAAAAAGCTCCAGGGAGCCGCAAGGCGAACGCTAAACAGCAGCATGCGGCTCCGCAGCCGCGGGTTGCCGACCCCCGGGTTAGATAAAAAAAAGGGGGGGAAAGTTCTGCAAACACATAAATATGCAGCAAATACAAAAGTACTGTAAAGACAAAACTGATGCTTTCAAATATAGAAATTAGACACAGAAAAACACTTAAGACATGATGAAAGACTTTAAGAAGCAAAAAAAACAAAACACAGGTTTATAAAAGCTGCAAAGTAGCGCTGCATAATGGGGAAAAAAGGTCAAGACCACCAGTGTTGGAACTGTTCTGTTTGTTTTACTTCCTGCTTTTATTTTTCTTCTATTTTATATTTTAATTAATTTAAAGCACTTTAAATTGTGCTTGCAGTGGATTGTGCTTCAGAAATAAACTTGCCTTGCCTAGGGGGAGACGATCATCAACACATACGGGACCATTACAATCATTACCACAGATTAATGTCTATGGACCAGATCCTTAGCAAACGGCATGTCTGCCCAGAGGACATTTGGAGGAAATAAACCCTCCATCTGAATTGTACCAGTTGTAGCTTCTGGCTCCTGTTCCTTCACTCTTAGCAGGGTTAACATTAACCCCTCGGTTCCACTGGACATTCTTCTGTTTTGATCCAAGTGTCCTTACTGATCTATTCAGATTCCTTTGAATCTTTTTACTGAGCTTCCTGTTTTATATATTTATAAAACCTGAGTGAAGTTGCCCCCCCCCCACCTTCTTCAAATCAGATAAAATTAGTGTCAAACGTTTGTGCTGGTTTGTGCAGCAAAAATTTTAGTTTGTGCCGCTTTAATATTAAAGATATAAAGAGATGTTTCTAGAGGTCAAAGGTCAACCACCCCCCCCACTTTTTATCAAATCTTCAAATCCAAAGCAGCACAAACGAAAATTTTTGCTGCACAAACCAGCACAAACGGAGCTTAGTTAATTGACACCTATTTCGTCTGATTTAAATAAGGTGGGGGGGCTGGTTGACCTCTGATGACCTCTAGAAATATTTCTTTATATCTTTAAAACGATAGCGGCACAAACGGAAATTTTTGCTGCACAAACCAGCACAAACGTTAGACACTAATTTTGTCTGATTTGAAGAAGGTGGGGGGGCCAACTTCACTCAGGTATTTATAAAGGGTTTGGTCCTATATGAGTTGATGATCGTCTCCCCCTAGTGGTCTGGAGCACTTCCGTTGTTAAGAGCTCATTTGCATACTTTTTTTTTAATATACTTTCAGGATTTTTAGTTCACATGCGTTTTATGTGTTTGCATCAATCATGTTTGCAGCCGGTTTTGTGTTTGCAGTGCGTTTGCACTTTGCTGCTCTCTGCTTTCTGCAATTAAAGCTTTTCTCCTTTTCTTTTCACATGTTTTGTGCATTTGTCTCTTTTTTTTTTTTTTGCTGCAAATTCACACATTTGGAACTCTCTGCAATCATACACTTTGTGTATAGAAACTGAGTTCATTCAGAGCATATATAGTTAAAACTAAAGAACACATGCCTCCAGCCAGAATAGGGACAGGTCATTACCCGGCTCCTGTAGGAGCCCTCCAATTGGGTCTGACTAGAGGTTTCACCCCACATGTTAATTAGGTCAAACTCCTGTCTGTCCCCGTACCGTCACAGCTGCCTTCCATTACATCAGGGCGCTGTCAACATTCGACCAATGTTAGGGTAAAGTGATGTCTAAGCTTGATTAAATCCGCCCTGGTTTTTCCCACTGGAGTCCCATAAAAAAATAAAAATGTTTAAATACAATTAAATTCAATTATGAACTCCAACACGAGACGGCTGAGCTGGGGGGAGACAAGCAGCCCCACCCCCGCCCTCCGCCTCTTCTCGCGGGTAACTCCAGAGTAGAAGAGAGTCCAGCCTCTCTCAAGGAGCTGGGTTCCAGAGCCCTGGCTGTGCGTAGAGGAGAGCCCAACTATTTCTAGCTGGTATCGCTCCACCTCCCGCACAAGCTCGGGCTCCTTCCCCGCCAGTGAGGTGACATTCCACGTCCCCAGAGCCAGTTTAAGCGCCCGCGGATCAGGTCGCCGAGGTCTCCGCCTCTGGCTGCCGCCCAATCCTCTTTGCACCGGTCCCTCATGGTTCCCCCTGCAGGTGGTGGGCCCACTGGGGGATGGCCTCGCGTCGCTCCTTCGGGCTGGGCCCGGCCGGGTCCCGCGAGGAAGAACCCGACCACCAGGCGCTCGCCGACGAACCCCAACCCCAGGCCTGGCTCCAGGGTGGGGTCCCGGCTCCGCCGTACCGGGCGACGTCACGTGCCTCGTTGGAGTCCTCGTCATAAGGGTTTTTGAACCGCTCTTCGTCTGACCTGTCACCCAGAGCCTGTTTGCCTTGGGAGACCCTTCCAGGGGCATTTAGCCCCCGACAACATAGCCTCTGGGATCACCCAGGCACTGAAACCCCTCCACCACGTTAAGGTGGCGGTTCAAGGAGGGGAATCCGAAGGTCGCCTCCCTTCGCCTTCGGGTTGAAGGGAGGACTCTGACAGTTGTTTCGGCCTATGGGCCGAACGGCAGTACGGAGTACCAGGCCTTCTTAGCATCCCTGGGGAGGGTGTTAGAAAGCGCCCCTCCCGGGGATTCCATCATTCTGCTAGGAGACTTCAACGCCCACGTGGGAAACGACAGTGACACCTGGAGGGGCGTGATCGGGAGGAACGGGCCCCCAGCTCTGAACCCGAGTGGTGTCTCATTATTGGACTTCTGTGCAAGTCACGGATTGTCCATAATGAACACCATGTTCAGGCATAAGGATGTCCATCGGTGCACTTGGCACCAGGACACCCTAGGCCGAAGGTCGATGATCGACTTTGTAGTCGTATCTTCTGATCTTCGGCCGCATGTCTTGGACACTCGGGTGAAGAGAGGGGCGGAGCTGTCCACCGACCACCACCTGGTGGTGAGTTGGATACGCTGGAAGAGGAGGAAGCCTGAAAGACTCGGCAGGCCCAAACGTGTAGTGAGGGTCTGCTGGGAACGTCTGGTGGAGCCCTCGGTCAGAGACGTGTTCAACTCCCACCTCCGGGAGAGCTTCTCTCAGGTTCCGAGAGAGGTTGGAGACATGGTGTCCGAATGGGCTGTGTTCTCTGCCTCTATTGTCGATGCGGCTGCCCGTAGCTGTGGCCGTAAGGTTTGCGGTGCCTGTCGTGGTGGCAATCCCCGAACCCGGTGGTGGACACCGATAGTAAGGGATGCCGTCAAGCTGAAGAAGGAGTCCTATCAAGCCTGGCTGGCTTGTGGGACTCCTGAAGCAGCAAGCAGGTACTGTGAGGCCAAACGTGTCGCGGCCCGGGCGGTTGCAGAGGCAAAATCTTGGGCCTGGGAGGAGTTCGGAGAGGCCATGGAAAAAGACTATCGGTTGGCCTCAAAGCGATTCTGGCAAACCGTCCGGCGCCTCCGGAGGGGAAAGCAGTGCTTCACTAACACTGTTTTTAGTGGGTGTGGGGAGCTGCTGACCTTGAAGGAGGATATTGTCGGGCGGTGGAAGGAATACTTTGAGGATCTCCTCAACCCGACAGACATGCCTTCCGTGGGGGAAGAAGAGACGAGGTGCTTGGGGCTGGGTTCGTCCATCACCCGGGCTGAAGTCACCGAGGTAGTCAAAAAACTCCACGGTGGCAAGGCTTCGGGGGTGGATGAGATCCGTCCTGAGTATCTCAGAGCTCTGGATGTTGTCGGGCTGTCATGGTTGACACGTCTCTTCAACATCGCGTGGAGGTCGGGGACAGTTCCCCTGGATTGGCAGACTGGGGTGGTGGTTCCCCTCCACAAGAAGGGGGACCGGAGGGTGTGTTCCAACTATCGGGGAATCACACTTCTCAGCCTCCCCGGAAAGGCCTATGCCAGGGTGCTGGAGAGGAGAGTCCGGCTGATTGTCGAACCTCGGCTGCAGGAGGAGCAGTGTGGTTTTCGTCCTGGCCGTGGAACGGTGGACCAGCTCTACACCCTCTGCAGGGTGCTTGAGGGTTCATGGGAGTTTGCCCAACCAGTCCACATGTGTTTTGTGGACTTGGAGAAGGCATTCGACCGTGTCCCTCGTGCTGCCCTGTGGGGGGTGCTCCAGGAGTATGGAGTCGGGGGCCCTTTATTAGGGGCCATCCGTTCTCTGTACAAGCGGAGCAGGAGTCTGGTTCGCATTGCCGGCATTAAGTCGGACCTGTTCCCGGTGCATGTTGGACTCCGACAGGGCTGCCCTCTGTCACCGGTCCTGTTCATAACTTTTATGGACAGGATTTCTAGGTGCAGCCAAAGACCGGAGGGGGTCTGGTTTGGGGAACAGCGGATCTCGTCCCTGCTTTTTGCGGATGACGTAGTTCTGCTGGCTCCCTCCTGCCAAGACCTACAGCGTGCGCTGGGGCGTTTCGCAGCCGAGTGTGAAGCGGCTGGGATGAGAATCAGCTCCTCCAAATCCGAGGCCATGGTTCTCGACCGGAAAAAGGTGGCATGTCCCCTTCGGGTTGGAGGGGAGTCCTTGCCTCAAGTGGAGGAGTTCAAGTATCTTGGGGTCCTGTTCACGAGTGAGGGAAGAATGGAGCGGGAGATCGATAGACGGATCGGTGCGGCTGCTGCAATAATGCGGACGCTGCACCGGTCTGTCCTGGTGAAGAGAGAGCTGAGTGAAAAGGCAAAGCTCTCAATTTACCGGTCGGTCTACGTTCCTACCCTCACCTATGGTCATGAAATTTGGATCATGACCGAAAGAACGAGATCCCGGATACAAGCGGCTGAAATGAGCTTTCTCCGCAGGGTGGCTGGGCTCTCCCTTAGAGATAGGGTGAGGAGCTCGGTCATTCGGGAGAGGCTCAGTGTAGAGCCGGTTCTCCTCCACATCGAGAGGAGTCAGTTGAGGTGGCTCGGACATCTTCTTCGGATGCCCCCTGGACGCCTCCCTCGGGAGGTGTTCCAGGCATGTCCCACCGGGGGGAGGCCCAGGGGACGGCCCAGGACACGCTGGAGAGACTATGTCTCTCGGCTGGCCTGGGAGCGCCTAGGGCTTCCCCCAACAGAGCTGGAGGAGGTGTCTGCGGAGAGGGAAGTCTGGGAGTCTCTGCTTAGTCTGCTGCCCCCGCGACCCGGTTCCGGATGAAGCGGGAGACGACGAGTACGAGTACGAGTAAATTCAATTCATTATAAAATCAGATGCGAGTCGGATTAAAGACTATAAATAAAAGCGGTTTAAATATATTTTAAAAAATGGGTTCACACTTGCTCGTTGCTCAAACTTAAAAATCAAACATTTATAAGCATAATTCACAAATCATCTCCCTATTTCAAATTCAATCTTATCAATTTCAGATTTACACTCATTAATTTCTGATTCGTACCTGTAATTGTGTGATGTTTTAACTCAAATTTGTGATTCTTACTTCTATTTCTGCAAAGTTGTCAGACGTTTACATGAATTGACAAGTACAAATCTTACATTTCTTCATTCTTGCTGTCTTGAACAAAATCCACTGAGCCTCATGTATGTTCCCTGGTTTTAGAAATGGAGAAAACTCTTGGCTGGAGACAATTATCGTTACATTTACACTTGCTCATATTTTCCCAGACAAAAAGTTAATGGTGCATCTCCCAAATGTCCCGGCCGCAACAACGCTTTTATTGGTTCCGCTATCGGGATGGAACCAATAATGGTGATTATCAATTTTAACGTTTTATTTAGATTACAAAAATAAATCGTAATAAAAATGATCGTATTTATGATGTTTTAAAAATTAAGACCTACGAAAGACTGATTTAAGACATTTTAATACCAATTAAGGCCTTAGTTTTATTTTGAAGGATTCAATGCCTTTTAAGACTTTTTAAGGACCCGCGGGAACCCCTGTATTAGTTGTATTTGCCTGCAGTGGGAACACAGGCTGTTTGCCCTGAAATGAAGAATGAATATTTGGAACAGCACCTCACTCCAATTTCTAACTACAGTAGAGAATACGTGATGCTGTGGGACTCTTTCTCTACCAAGTACCCTGAAAAACCTACGAGCGCAAAAGATGGTATTCCAAACCATCACAGAAGCAGCTAGGAGACAAACTCAACTTCCTTTATTCGCCGTCTCTGTCTTTGTGGACTCTGTGGGATCCATAGAGGTGGTTTAAAGGAGGATGGTTAAAGATGCCCTTCTCTAAATGCTTCAACCTGTTGTAGCAGTGCTGTCGACTTTATGCAGAACATTTTACATGGGAGTTTTCTTCACACTTTCTTAAGATACTCAGATGGAAGTTTTGAATTTCCAGCATGAGATTATGCTGCTGCAAAAACGAGGTGAACGTTGCTGAGTTACTTGGCTCTGCAGCTGAACAGATTGGGAGGTTCTTGATCTCTTGAGCTGATGAATTCCTCTAAATACCACCCGGTTCTGCTGCCAGCATGGATGCATTTTGTGCTTTATTTGTCCCGGCCAAGATCTCTGTGAATTTTATTCCATTTACTTAAGAGCTATAGGAAACCCTTTCACATTTAACTCACCAACCATCTGGCCAAAACCTGAAAATTACATCCCACCAACTATCTCTCTCCAGGACAGAGCAATAAACATTTCCTGGCTCAGAAAACACGAGTTCCCCGTCTGGTTACATCTTTGATTTCTCTAAAAGCTGCTCACCAGCCACACCGAACGGCCTCCTCAAGCCACCCGTTTGCTTTTTGCCCTCTTTGAGCTCCATGCTGCCCACCCTGATGATCTGACACACCAGGAAGAGCCGCTGCCTCATTAGATCACTGCTGCTCAGGTCCTGGACACCACAGAGAAAAACAAAGCTGATTAGTGATGACAGGTGATGTACATGAGGTACAGAAAGCAGTGACCTTCTCCTATCATCTGCAGTTTATTACAAACAATCACATGGGTACAGATGGAGACCAGACGGTAAAGGTTAGCAGACAAAAAGCTGCAAACATTAAACAAACACGGATTTTCCACTGCACGATCCTGACCTATAATCTTTATAAAAAGCTTATTTTAGTCATTTAATTCAAAAAGTGAAGCGTATATCCCACCTTTTCCCTAGAGAGGGAGTAAGTTAAACATTTATTTAGACTATAATAGTTTCCAGCTGATGGAAATTTTAAATTGAGCTTAGGTTTGATAAGTATCAGTAGAATAAAAGAGCTTAAAAACCCAGCTGTAAACAAAGTTCTGAATCCAAGGACATAAATAAAAAGTTGGGTGGAAGGAAAAGCTTCTTTAAAATAGAGAACAGATCATGTAATAAAGAAGGCGGGAGGCTTGATAAGGTAGAGACTCATTAGGCATGGACTTCAGCAACAGCAGCTTCACGCACCTATCCTGGACATGAAACTAAGCTGCTGCTTTCTCTGTTAAAGAACACCAGAACCAGAGAGTCACACAGAAAAAAGAAAAAGGGCTGAACTTTTGGTCTGCGGTCCAATTATCCTTTTTTCTGCACATTATATAGAAATCAATAAGTCTGCAGGAAGAGGAGAGAAATCCTGGAAGCTTGAAGTCCAGTATTGTTTCCAATCGGTGATCATCAATGAGGTTAAAGTCGTAGGGAAGCGGCCGTTCCAAATGTTGCATTTCTGAATTCTCTCGAGTGGTGCACAACTTCATACGAGTGAATAAAGTAAATTGTTTTGGCGGAAGGTTCATAAGCAAGTTTGATTGTGGCCGGTTTGTTGGAAGCATCTTGCTAACCAGTTAGCAACTTAGTGCTAGTAGGTTCCCAATGGGAAATTCCATTGGGACCAAGTAGCACTAAATTGGTGACTTAGAAACGACGCTGTCAAGGAACGCTATGGACAGAGGAAACATGCAAGAGGAGGAGAGTTTAGTGTCGGAGGTCGTGGATGAGTCTCCTCCGTCATCCATTTTTTATTTAGAGGAGGAAAGGATGAAGATGTTGTGGAAGAGGACGCCAGGGCGACAGAAGCTTGGTTTGGTGTAGAAGGCTTCCAGCCGTACATGTTTAAGCCGTTGCCTCACAACGCTAACCTGACTCCGCCAGATGGATTTGCTTCGCATATCCATCTGGAAACCTTCCGTTAAAGTAATTTTGGGAAGGGGCGAAAATACTGGTTAGCTGATTGGCCTATGTTGGTGATAGACGGGCCAATTAAACCAATCAGATCAACGAAGCATAGGACGTACTAACAGAGCGACGACGAAGAGGAGCCAATTGATAGATCAAACTCTTGCCGAAACCAGTCGGGAGAAGAGCAAAAACATCTTTTCCTCTGAGAAAAGCCTCCAGAGCAGTGTTTTGCTCTTCTTTCAGTGAAGAAATACTCTGTAATTCCGATAAAACTTGCTTGATAGCCACGCTAACGTTAGTTTCATCGGCTGAAGCCGCCATGTTCTTTAGACTGAACTGTCGCGCTTCTCGTTGCGTCACACCTCAACCCGCCTCAAAGCCAACGCTGATTGGACGTTCGTTTGGTGAACGGCTCCAAATTTTCTTTAACGGAAAGTAGCCAGACTGATCTGCGAGTGAAACCTTGAAAGCTCGCGAGATCAGGATGGTCTCACGAGGCTATCGCAACGCTGCCATTTCTGTTAGCTCTACGCCTGCCGAAGACACAGACGTCCATCCCCTTGAACACTGGGACGGAATTTGATAGGAAAGTTAATGATTCTTTTTTCTTATTTCGTCTGTTGTGTATATTAGCTGCGACATATGAATCAAGATGCTATGACTGAAAAAAATTTGATTACAAGATGAACGTTGATGTATGATTGGCCGAATTAAAGTGTTCAGGCTGACGTATAACTAATTGGCCTGTATAAGAAAAGAAAAAATAGACTGATTTTAAGACATGATTTTTTTTTAAATAGACATTTTCTAACTTTTAGGAAAATATGGTCTGATAAATAGTACATTGATATACATGTTGAAGCCAGAATGATTTGAATTTTAAAAATGACGACTTTAAGGTAATCTGCTGTTGTCGGTAAGTAAAAGTTTACATCCGTTCAATCATCTGCTAAATGCTTTCTTCTCCTGATCCTGGCTCCTTTGTACCCATACCTGTTTTAAGGACCTTGGTGTGCAAAACAAACCGCACAGAGAATTTTTTAAATGCAAAAACCAGCATGCTGGTCTTCTACTGTATGGGGTAAGAGAACCTTCAAAAAATTGGATGCATTGCTGTCTGAATATCTTAATTCTACGGAAGAGGATTAGGGCCACTGAAAAAATAAAAAAGTTAACTGATTTTTAAATATTATTTTAGTTTATGATGTGAAAAAAGTCAGAATTCTGACTTTAATCTCAGAATTCTGACTTTTTTCTCAGAATTCTGACTTTAATCTCAATTCAGACTTTAATCTCAGAATTCTGACTTTTTTCTCAGAATTCTGACTTTTTTCTCAGAATTCTGACTTTAATCTCAGAATTCTTACTTTAATCTCAGAATTCTGACTTTTTTCTCAGAATTCTGACTTTAATCTCAGAATTCTGACTTTTTTCTCAGAATTCTGACTTTAATCTCAGAATTCTGACTTTAATCTCAATTCAGACTTTAATCTCAGAATTCTGACTTTTTTCTCAGAATTCTGACTTTTTTCTCAGAATTCTGACTTTAATCTCAGAATTCTGACTTTTTTCTCAGAATTCTGACTTTAATCTCAGAATTCTTACTTTAATCTCAGAATTCTGACTTTTTTCTCAGAATTCTGACTTTAATCTCAGAATTCTGACTTTTTTCTCAGAATTCTGACTTTAATCTCAGAATTCTGACTTTAATCTCAATTCAGACTTTAATCTCAGAATTCTGACTTTTTTCTCAGAATTCTGACTTTTTTCTCAGAATTCTGACTTTTTTCTCAGAATTCTGACTTTAATCTCAGAATTCTGACTTTAATCTCAGAATTCTGACTTTTTTCTCAGAATTCTGACTTTAATCTCAGAATTCTGACTTTAATCTCAGAATTCTGACTTTTTTTCTCAGAATTCTGACTTTAATCTCAGAATTCTGACTTTTTCATTCTAATTTAGGCAGATAAAAAGCTTTTTTATATTCCCTGCTTGGCTTCCTGGTAGCTCCATCCTTTGTTTTCATGGAACTGCTGACTGCTTGAATAAAACAAGCAAACAGCAGCAAAGATCCACTGCGAAAAGAGAGTAATTCACAGAAAGCATCATTAAATTACCAGCTCTTCAGAAACAAATAGTCCATCTTTCACAGATTCAAGGTAATGTTCAGACTGTTTAAATCTTAAACACCGAGGGGAATACAGTCAGCAGATTGAGAGTCGGTTACCGTGAATAAGGCTGGCAGGTTGTTGAGTTTTTCAATTTCCTTAGGCATTCCCATACTGTCCCAGCGCACCAGGAAGTTCTCGCTGCATGAATTCAAATAGGAATCACAGTTAGACATCACATTATCTGAGCTATCGGAAGAAATAGAAAACGGCAGCAGCCCATGCAGCCATTCGTCATCATTTCTTCCCATCACCACATAAAAAAATATATATATATATATATGTCACATAAATCTTAAAGACTATTTGTTCCGATTGATTAGTAACCATGTCCTTGTGTAAAGCCCAACAGAGGTTTCTAAAAATCCTGACTTAAAAATGAATGACTTGAGCTTATTGTCTTAATTGCCTCCTAATGTCTCTGCAGTCAAGCCAAGCTCATGCTCCTGCTTGTATTTTTAGTTTCTACCAAATTAAAATTCATAAAAATCCATGCTGTTTATAATCAGGGCTGTCACTTCCCGAGAGCAGGCACAGCAGCGGCTTAGCAGCCTAACAAAGCTGTCCTCCATTTTTAAAAACATCCATAATGAGCTCCTTGAGGTCTCACTGACATATCTGTGGCACACAGGGCCGGATTTATGAGAGTGTGGACCTCTGGGCCGGAGCCAGTTTATAACATACGGCCTATCAAAAGAAAAATTATGTTTTCAGCCTCTTGATTTACAAATTCAATTATATTTAATTTTGCTATATTTCCCAAAATGATTTTGATTTAATATAAATTTTTTACATTTATTTCTTCAAAATCAGAGGTTACCATAAATTAAGATTATTGATTTTAAAGAGATAAAGTAAAGTTAATAATGATGAAACTGGGATTTTTAAAGCCGGTAGTTGGGTTGTATGAGTGGGATTTATGTTCAGACATTCAGACGGACGAATTTCAACACACAATCTGACTGATCCCAGATCAGCCTTAGGTCTGTGTGAGGCCATACGGGAGCGGAGCTGTCCATGGTGGAAACCAGGAGCAGTCTCTCTCTCTCAGGCTGAGCCCAGTGCTGGTTAAAGACATTTCCTCCCAGCACTGCGTTTCCTGAGCCCGTAACCTCATCAATGACCCCTCACCCCCCCCCACAATGGACTGTTCTTCCTGCTGCCCCCTGGGAAGAGGCTTCGAAGCATCCAATGCAGGACCAGCAGATTTCAGAACAGTCTGTTCCCCATTGCCATTAGATTGCTGAATATTATGTAAAATGGGTTAAAAATATATATTTTTTTTTTCATCGCAATGTTTTTATGTTTTTATCACTGCTGCTTACCTGCATTTTAAAAAATGAAATAGTCTAGAGTACTTAAAGGAATAGTACACCCAAAACATGATTAGCCTTCATTTTCTACTCACCCCCATGCTGAACAACACTCTGGAGTACTTTTTATATATCTCAAATGCATCTGGAGATCTGGGAGGCTTCTTGCTGTCTGCTGACATTCAAATAATGGAGGTCTATGGCGCCCGAGGCAGAAAGGTCCATAAAAGTCCACAAAAAACGTGTCAATATTCCTCGATATTGCTCGTCCAATGTATTCCAAGTGTCCTGAGTGGGTAGCGTCCATAATTTACTCGAGACGAAGTCATTTAGAATGTTTTTAGAGCATAAACAGTAGTGTATAGGATTTCCTAAAAGCGAGATTTCACGAGTCTACGGAAACCGCGGCAGACCAAACCAGATGAAAGTGCGCATTCAGCCCGGCAAAGAACTCATGCTCTTCCTCAACACTGAAGTCCTCAGACATTTTTCTTTCGTTGTTTCTTTCTTTGCACAGGTAAACAGCACATTTCTTCTTCTACGCTTGCATTATTGGCAGAGCAGACGCTGAATGCGCACTTTCATCTGGTTTGGTCTGCCGGTTTCCGTAGACTCGTGAACGCGCTTTTAGGAAATCCTATACACTACTGTTTATGCTCTAAAAACATTCTAAATGACTTCGTTTCGAGTAGATTCTGGATGCTACCCACTCAGGACACTTGGAATACATTGGACGAGCAGTATGGAGGAATATTGACACGTTTTTTTGTGGACTTTTATGGACCTTTCTGTCTCGGGCGCCATAGACCTCCATTATTTGAACGTCAGCAGACAGCAAGAAGCCTCCCAGATCTCCAGATGCATTTGAGATATCAAAAAAGTACTCCAGAGTGTTGTTCAGCATGGGGGTGAGTAGAAAATGAAGGCTAATCATGTTTTGGGTGTACTATTCCTTTAAGGAAATTTCTTTTTGTTTACACTTGTGTGCACAAAATGACAAAATAAATCTGTCTAAGTCTCTAAGTCTAATCTATCTTCGAGGGGAGTGTTGGTGGTTAGAGCAGGACGTTTGTGCCCAGAGAAGGTTGCAAGTACCCGGTTTGATCCCCACAGCCTGCACTCTGGGTACCCGAGCAAACCCTTAACGCCACACTGCTCCCCCACTAGGGGTGGGTATTGGCAAAGAAGACATAATTCGATTCGAATCACGATTCACATGCCACGATGCGATTCCATCATGATGCATCACAATACTTGAAATATTGCGATGCATCACGATGCGTTGCGATATTTTCACTGAACACTGTAAGAAAAAGAAACAGCCCTTACCAGTGGCTGACTGGCTGGGTGTGACCTGGATGGTGTCTTCAATTGATACATAACTGAAAGCAACTGAATTCATACATAGCTGTATTCATTGGTGGTGTTGCCATGAAAACAAATACTGGACAGAAATATTACTATTACTGGTGTGGACACACTGACAAAAAGATCTTAGGATTCATCAAACTTAAAATAACAAAATTGGGATAATCAGTGCCGTTTACATGGCCTCAGTGGTCCTTTTGGAAATAACTTGCGTCATATCAATTTCATTTTTACCTTCTTTGTTTTTAAAGCAAAAATGCATCCAAGCGGAGCGAATTTTCTCAGTCTCCTCCATATTTTGTTTACGAATGACTCGTCTCAGTATCCCCCGGCCGGAAATGCTTGTGACACAAGGCAGCGGGCGTCAACATCTGCAGCGACATCTACTGGACTGGAAGTTGTATTACACTCGATTTTGCTGATGTGCGCCAACCATTCATGTATTTTATTTGCAAATTTTTATTTTTTTTTATAATCGATTCTTGCCTTCAAGAATCGATGCAGTAGATCACATGATTAGAATCGCGATGCATCGTCATGACGATAATTTTGCACACTCTTATCCACCACAGTGCTCAATGGCAGCCCGCTGCTCCCCAAGGGGATGGGTTAAATGCAGAGGTACATTTCTACAAGGTGAGATCAATAAAGTTCTATTTCTAATAGGGGTGGAACGGTTCACAAAATCCACGGTTCGGTTCGGTTCACGGTTTCGTGGTCACGGTTTTCAGTTCAGTTCGGTATATGTTGATTGTTAGCCTGACATGTTGGTCATGTTGCTGTTAGCATAAACAAAACGTGTTGCACAATGCTTGCACACTGTTGCACTTTTATCCCCAACTTTCTTTCCTCCGTCATCGTAGGTCACTCTAAATGCAAAGTGGTCCCATACAGCAGACCTATAAAGTGCTGCTGGCGCGTCTTCCAACTCCTGTTCTTTCCCACTCGCCATACCCACACAATTCTCCACAACAACTGATTTGTTTCTGCTACACCCGGCTACGCTGCTTCTCTTCTTCTTCTTCTTGTTTACTACTGGTGATTGGCTTTGGTCGCAGTACCGCCACCTTCTGCTCTGGAGTGTAAACGCTTCGCCTATGAGAAAAAGGAGCAGCGCATGAACCGAATGCAACACACGCAAACCGAACCGAGACAGTTAAACCGAATGGTTTGGATGGTTTTCATAAACCGTTCCATCCCTAATTTCTAATCTGGTAATGTGGGGGTGACAGTGGCGTCGGATGTAGGAGTTTGCCCTAAAATTGGACGGTTCAAGCACCAGCTCCCTAAGTGCAGCTTCACCTGCATCGCCTACTGATGGTGGTCAGACGGCCTGGCGGCGCCAGTGTACGGCAGCCTCGCTTCTGTCAGCGAGCCCCAGGGCAGCTGTGGCTACCATGTAGCTGATCCCTATCAGTGTGTGAGTGAACGACTGAATGTAGTGTAAAGCGCTTTGGTCAAGTCTCCTGACTAATGCTATATAAGTACAGGCCATTTACTATTTAATCTGAATGCATTTGTTCTGCCTTTTAAAGATTACAATTATTAAAGTTTAATACTGATTTTGTATTAATGTGTTAAAACTTTTTAAAATTAAAGAACTTCAAGAGTATAAATGAGAGAGAAAAATAGTAACCATAGTTACTTTATCATCAGTGTTTGAAAAGTTGACATAAAACTAACTAGTTATGGCTTCTGGTTACTTGTCTAAACTACGACTACTACTCAAATACTGTAAAATCAATCAATTACTAGTCAAATTAAATATGCAGTTGCTTTTTATGATCTAAAACATTGATGAATTTTAGTAAATTTCTGCTGTCATAACTTTAAGTAAATAAGAATTTTGATATTATTCGAATTAATTAACTAGAAGGACTAAAGAGAAACTAAACTAAAAAAGGACTAAATTTGCATCGTTTCTTTTGCATTTGGTTTGACAAGCCAGTTGCAAAATAAATACATAGATGTGTTTATGTTTTTTATTGATAATTAAAGAAGAATAAAGCAAATTAGATGTTTCATTACTATATTTTTGCAATTTCCCATACTGGCAATAAAATAGCTATGTAGCTGAAAGTAATGTTTTAAAGCAATTTAGAAGAAAAAAGGCCCTTTGTAACAGAATTAAACAGCATTTATGCTATTCTAAAAATGAGCGAATAACACAGAGAGGAAGGAATTACGTGGGCAGCCAGCTGTCAGTCACTGCTGAGATGAAGTGAGGAGCTTCTTTAGACAGCAGATGCTCCTAACCGACACATAAATACAGAATTCATGCTCTTTCAGAACTAGCTTTTGAAGATAAATGACAAATAAACCTGTTAATATATTAATGTAGCTATGTATTAATAATATGCAGAAACATCACTGATTTAAAGTATGGAGGATGATTTCTATGGAAATGTAGGTAGGGTCTTTTTTCCTCTTTTTCTTAAATTCTGAGAGTTTTCCTCTTACAGGGTTCGTACAGCATAAGGCAAGTTAAATTCCAGACTTTTTAAGACTTTTTAATGCCACTTGAAATAAAAAATTTAAGACCAAATTCACAAGAAACACAAGAAAAACCTGCTGGACAACTTAACCCAAAGGTTTATTCTAACATAAACCACTGCACTAATGTTTTAAATTTTGAAAAGCTTCCCATACAGGAAGAAAGCTAAAAACACACAAATGACAGATATATTTTAACAATTATTTAACTGAATTCACAAACTTGGTTTTAGCAGGGAACAAAACAAATCAGTTTTAAAGCCCCAACATAACCAGTGCAAGTCTTTTTTGCAGCTATTTTTCTTTGTATGGTTTTCTTAGTATGTTTGATTTGGTGATAAGTGGAGGCGTTGCAGAGACAAGGGTGGAACAAAACTGAGAAATACCGGCTGTTTCTCGGTAACTCCATTTTGACGCTTTGTGTTTCGTGCTTCACTTGTGTGACTCCACTGCCTTAATTCTACAGTGGAGGCTGTAGGCTTTGCTTTGTGCAGGCGGTCTGGAGCTCAGCGGGGCGGAGCGCTGACGGAGTATGTGGGATTTCGGGGTTAGCATGACACATTGGTCATGTTGCTGTTGGCATAAACAAAACGTGTGGCACAATGCTTGCACACTGTTACACTTTTATCCCCAACTTTCTTTCCGCCGTCATCGTAGGTCACTCTAAATGCAAAGTGGTCCCATACAGCAGACCTATAGTGCTGCTGGCGCGTCTTCCAACTCCTGTTCTTTCCCGCTCGCCATACCCACACAATTCTCCACAACAGCTGATTTTTTTCTGCTACACCCGGCTACGCTGCTTCGCTTCCTCTTGTTTACTACTGGTGGTTGGCTTTGGTCGCAGTACCGCCACCTTCTGCTCTGGAGTGTAAACGCTTCGCCTATGAGAAAAAGGAGCAGCGCATGAACCGAACGAAACACACGCGAATCGAACCGAGACAGTCGAACCGAACGGTTCGGACGGTTTTCAAAAACCGTTCCATCCCTAATATGTACTCATCTGTATTCACCCCTTTGAAAACTATCTGGCTATGCTTTGCCTGTTGGCCACTGTACCACACAGTAAGGATAAAAACATTGAGTCTTTGTTTTTTTTGTTTTTTTTTAAGCATTTGGAACTAATACTAGAAAATCAGAGCTTTTTTTTGTCCCAAAGCAATTTTTGCACATTTTCCTTAAAAAATACAAAAAACAGCTTGATTTCAGCAAATATCTTCAATTATGCAAAAAAAAGTGGCTCAAACTGACTTAACTTTGCCAGGCCTGCATGTAGCCAAGTAATGTCACCACGGTAACACACCAAATATAAACTAGGATTTTGGTTTTCTGTTGTTAAATCTATCCTATTTTGGTTGAACAGGTGGGTTTTATTAATTGTATTATCATTGTTTTTAGGTTTCTGAATATTTTTGCTTGACTGCAACAAAAAATAAATAAATGAAACTTTAACAAACTAACAATAATAGAGGCTAATTTGGTTTGTTTAGAATCTTTTATTACAAGATCCTTGGATTTATAAAAATTAAAACAGTTTCAAGGCACACTGAACCTCAGGGACCCACATTATTCCCTGTGAGCTTTTTCTAAAGTCTGTCTCTGGTGACGTCGATCACCTCAACACCCTGGCCTGTTTTACGCTTCCATTGGGCATTCACCTCCCATGATCGCAAAAAGAGAGGCAAGGTTGATCCAAACATAATAAGCTTCTTAATGAGAAATGTTTTTTTCCTTCTCTGAGCTTAAAAGAAAACCCATTTTCAGCCTGTAAATCTGAACTGCTCATTAAATAACGTAGCTTTAAAACCAAGGCCTGACAAAAAGAGACACTGTAGTGTTTTTACTCTTAAAACAGCTGGTGCCTTAACTTCAGAAACCCATTATATGCTTTTATGCTCAAAAAAAGAAAAAATACATTTTTGCATTACCCCCCCCTAACCTTACACATATTTATTTAATGCACTGCTGAAGCTGCTACATTCAGAATAGGACTACATGACAGTAATGAACAACTTTTACAGGTTTTTATTATTCATAGCTGAAAGAAATTATTAATTCATTATGTTGTAACTTTTGCTGAGGAGTGACAGAGTAGGAGAACTGTTATTTTTGTGGCTAAACACCCGCTAACAGGTGTATTGACTCTGGGCAACTTGGATTAATGTTATACAAGAAGTATTTATGCTTACAAACCTGATAAATTCTGACTGGTCGGGATCATAGAGAGACATGAGCAGCTCAGCATCTTCCCCGATGTTGCACACAAAGTTTTTTAGGTTCATGAGGAGGCTGTAGGTGTGGACGGAGCTGAACAGGGTCTGTCGCCTCATCTCCATGTTTTGCAGTCTTGTCTGTATGAAAAACAAGTCAGAGAATCAGTGTGAAACCCTGAAGGGGCTGGCAGATTAAAGCCAGTGAGAGGATTGAAACATGCCTTTTCTTCCTGTATTCTGTCGTCCACGCTGCGGGACGCCGTCTCGTGGGCCTGAAAAAGCCTGACGGTACTGGTCCGGTCAGGATCCAGCATATTTCCTGCTTCATCTCTAACCACCAGGTCCAAACCTAGAATCCTGAGTGACACAGTGGATACATCAGCACCTTAACATAAATTCTGTTTTTTGTGTTTTTGTGTAGAGTGGCTCAGGTTATCCTGAGCTATCTCTATACTTATGCTGCTATAGGCTTAGACTGCTGGAGGACATAGGGACCACTTTTCATCATTCTATCACTATTCTCCGATTCTGCAGTATTCATTCATTATTCAACCCCTTTATGTTTCCTCTCTGCATTCTCTTTACAGTAGCTTCATCTGGTCTGTTCCCAGTGATGGGAGTAACGGCGTTACTAACGCCGCTACCTTTTTTTAGTAACGAGTAATCAAAGTTATTACTCTTACTGTAACTATAACGCAGTTACAATTGCTGACACCCCGTTACTGCACGTTACTCAGGTCGCACAATTAACCTATTTTCATGATAGGACTCGTGCGCGCGTCATGAGAGAGGGGAGGATGGAGAGTGAGGATGACTCCAGCGGCAAAACAACGCTTTCCAGATGGAAATACTGGTGTTACGTCGAACTGCGTTTCCCCATCAGATACGGTTTCCCCTGCATCTCCGCACAGCGGCACGATTCACCGCGCAAGCGACAGGAAACGCGCATGCTAGCTAAAGGCGCGCAACAGCTGCCCTGTGCTCGCGCCACAGGGGAACTACGGAGAGCGTGAACGATCATTAGCCTGGGATGGATGGATGGATGGATGGATGGATGGATGGATGGATGGATGGATGGATGGATGGATGGATGGATGGATGGATGGATGGATGGATGGATGGATGGATGGATGGATGGATGGATGGATGGATGGATGGATGGATGGATGGACGGATGGATGGATGGAAGGATGGACGGATGGGTGGATGGGTGGATGGATGGATGGATGGATGGTTGGATGATGGATGGATGGATGGATGGATGGATGGATGGACGGATGGATGGATGGATGGACGGACGGATGGATGGACGGACGGATGGATGGAAGGATGGACGGATGGGTGGATGGGTGGATGGATGGATGGATGGATGGATGGATGGATGGATGGATGGATGGATGGATGGATGGATGGATGGATGGATGGATGGATATAGCTACATGTTGCAGTATCTGTAACAACCCAAACACACAGGCTTTCAGAATTAGACATCCCCAGTTATTAATTTCATACACTCGCAAAAGTAACGCAATAGTTACTTTTACTACTAACTAGTTACTTTTATTGTGGAGTAACTCAGTTACTAACTCAGTTACTTTTTGGGAGAAGTAACTGGTAACTATGACTAATTACTTTTTCAAAGTAACGTGCCCAACACTGTCTGTTCCTGATCTTATATTTAATGTAGTCCTGTTTCTCTGACTGTGACTGGCTGGATGTGCTCTCTTCATCCTCTGACATTTGAGCTGGCTTGGGTCTTGTCAGCTTGGCTGTGTGTTTCCTGGACGGGGGCCGCCTGTGGTGAGTGGGTGACAGTTTCCTTTTTTATCTCTGCTTCTGTCTCCCTGAACCCCAGTCGGCCTCAGCAGATGGCCGCTCACACCGAGCCTGGTTCTGCTGGAGGTTTCGTCCTGCCAAAAGAGAAGTTTTCCTCTCCACTGTCGCTACAATTGTTTAATGTGAGGGATAGCCTTCGAGTCAATGAGTCAATGCAATCAGGTGGTTTTCCTTAAATAGAAAACTTTAACCAATCTGACTGAATGATCTGGTTGAAGAGTCTCAGTAAAGTGCTTTAAGACGACATGTGTTGTGAATTGGTGCTATAGAAAAAAAACTGAACTGAATTGAATAGTGACACCATGGTAAATGGTAAATGGCATGTACTTATATAGCGCCTTTTTTCAAGTCAGGAGACTTGACCAAAGCGCTTTACACTACATTCATTCACCCATTCACGCACACACTGATGGTGGCAAGCTACACTGTAGCCACAGCTGCCCTGGGGCCCACTGACAGAAGCGGGGCTGCCATACACTGGGGCCACCGGGCCCTCTGACCACCATCAGTAGACAATGCAGGTGAAGATTCTTGCCCAAGGACACAACGACAATGAAAGTCAGAGCCGGGGCTTCGATTTCAGGGCAAACTCCTACATCTAACGCCACTGTCACCCCCCATCCTGAAGAGAAATATCCGCTGTGCTCCTGCCATCAAATCCTTCCATTAGAGATGATAAAGTTGTGCGTGTTTTTCAGTGTTTAGTCCCGTTTCACTCTTAGACATAGCTAGGGGCTCAGCTTTTACTGTGACTAATTCTTTTATCCCTTTGGCATGACAACTGGCTCAGAGATCACCTGCTCTTTCATTCCCCGATAGAGCCCCCTGTGGAGCAAGTTTACCTTAATGTTACCTTCTCAAACATTAAGCATTTATGGATCAGTGCTTGTATTTTCCTTTTTATGTCTGCCTCTCTCTCTGAATCACCAGTTGGCCTCTGTGAGAATAAGTGACTCTCTAAACCATTTTTTTTTTTTTTTTTTTTTTTAGAAAACATTTCTTTAAGTTTAATTTCTGGATTTTTTCAAATTTCAATTTTAAAAATTTATCAAATTTAACTCCATACTTGGCACTATATGTATGACTTAACAAAAGAAGGCGAAGTTCTTTCATCTTGGCCAGTTGAAAGAATCCGTACCGGTTTCCATAATCAATCTTCGCTGTCACTTTCTTCTTCAGCTCTACAAGGTCGTCCTTGGGCAGCGTCCCTGACACTATCTGAGATCGATACTCGATGAGGCTGTAGGCCATCTGCTGCACACTTCTGAACTTGGTTATCTTGTTTGCCTGTCAGAAAAAAAAAAAATTGTACATGCTTTTTTATAAATAAAGATGTTATTCAGAGGTATGAAGAGCAGTGAGAGAACTGTGTGTACTCCAACAGAGTGCTCCACACGTACCACGTAGAGTTTTTGCCATATCTGCACCCATTCCCTGAGGGTCGCCCCTATCTCCTGCACCAAGGGTATATCTGCTGGAATAATTATTTCCTGTTGGCTATGAGCCACCAGAAAAAGAAAAAGAAAAAATGTTAGGAGAGTAGCTTGTCGCTCACAGATCATGCAAAATAATCTGAGATGACTGGAGAGCATTTTTTGAACGGTTGAACGAAGCCAAGAGAAGCTTTACTGAATTCTTACTTATGATAATTACAACTGCTTATGCAACTGGTAAACAGAGAGGCGACACTGCAAACTTGAAGCAAAGTGAATCATCATCAAAATGAAGTGCCTGCTGATTTGTGATCTTACCCAATTCCCTCGACTGTGGCCTCTTTTAAGTGGATGTAGGAAGCCGGGAAAATGCCCTGAGGAAACAATCAGGAAGTATCAGTGTACACATCCACATCACAGCCTTCCTTTACAACGTAGCTCTAGTGTCCATACCTTCTGTGCTTTCTTTCTGAGAGTGTAGCCCCTGTACCAGCCTACGGATAGTAAATAAAAATAAATAAAAAGAAAATCAGATAAGACAGAAATGAGGGGAAAGGTGGCGTAAAGCAGCTGCACACTACCGTCCTTTCAAGATCATGTGTCTGCATGTTTTAGAGCGGAGATGAGGGATATGTCATAGCCTGCTTACTCACCTTCAAACTTTTCAAGTATGTGCACGGTGTCGCCCACCTGCAGACGCAGCTCCTGTTCGCCACGGGGGTCATAATTGTAGATTGCTGAGGGACAGAGAATAACAGTTTCATTGTGTTGAAGTGAAAAAAATAGCAGTTTTAGACATTTTTTTTTTTACCATCTCAGAAACTTTTGGATTAAAGAAAAAATCCCCCCCAATCAATTCCAGCACAGTGAAGCAAATAAAAAAAAAAGCTCTGCCTGAGTGGTCTCCAGTTTCTCACCAGGAAATCAAGCCAATTCCCCCTTGTTGTTGCACTACAGAGGATCTTAAGCTTTGATTTATTCCTCTTCTTGCTTTTAGAAAAGCAACCGAGCCTGAGTGACTCAGGCGTCCGAGGCCTTTGGACTATTTTCAATAGAATCTAAACGCCTGCTGGCAGCGTTTGGAGTCACAGGGTGGCTGCACCGTCATGCTGCGAAAAGTCATAAGCCAAATATGAGATTTTTACGGTGTGATAACTTTTAATAAGAATACCAGTTTCCTATTATTCCGAAAAATATAACCAAAGCAACAATAACACCCACTGCTGCTAAAACAACGTACATGTTGAGTAATGAAGTTTCAAAACCTCTGGATAAACCGATGGTGAGCAGCCAATGAGAGGAAAGCGTTTCATCAGACGGGTGTGGCTTTTAATGAATACGGTCAACGATTTCAAGATTTAATTTCTGCCAAATGACAAACCTTTCAATTACGACGGAGAATTAGGGCCAGCATAGAGAGTTTTTTAGTTTTTATTTTGAGAATTAAGTCATAAGATTACAAGAATAAAGTCATAATTCGACAACCTGTTTCAGAAAGAAAGCTTGGAGCTCCACCCTGCAGATGACGGCCGACCAGCTCCACCAATCAGCAACCACTTTGTCATCCTGCCCAATTTGATGCTGGTGCTACAAGATTTCCTTATTCATCAAACCAGAGCCAAAGTATAACTTCACATGATGCTCGACGTTCCTCATTTTAGGGAAGAAAGTACTTCTTGTAAGAGTTGTCATAAAATACAACTTGTTTCTCGTAATTTTAGGACTTTATTCTCTTAATTATACGACTTTATGATCGTAGTGTTACAACTATTACTGTTATTACTATTACTTTTTTCCCTCATAATTTTACGAATTTATTCTCGGAATTTTACGACTTTATTTTTGAAATAGATGGAAAAAAATATCTAGCCTGGCCCTAATACTCCATCGTAGTAAACACCATCCTAACTGCCAAAAAATAAATACAGAAGTAATTTGTTCTTGAAATAATTGTACTTGAGCAGAAAGTGAGAAAATTTACCAAAGGAGGAAAATGATTTAGGTATAAAATAAGAACAGAGAAAACTTTATCTTATTAATGAAGCTCCTCAGTCATCCAGGTCATAGTCATTCCAAAAAAAGAAAAAAAGCCACTCCATTCCAAAATGGTGGACCCCTTGGATGAGGTCGCCTTTTGCAGCTGCTTTTTGTGTCTCTGCTTCTGTCTCCTTGAACCCCAGTCGGCCTCAGCAGATGGCCGCTCACACTGAGCCTGGTTCTGCTGGAGGTTTCTTCCTGTTCAAAGGGAGTTTTTCCTCTCCACTGTCGCTACAAGCATGCTTAGTGTGAGGGATTGCATTTGAGTCAATGAAATCAACTGGTTTTCCTTAGATAGAAAACTTTGAATCAATCTGACTGCACTGCAAAAAATGGAAATCTAGATAAGTCCTTTTTTCTTAAAATAGGTGCATTTGTTGTTGAATTGAGGAGTTAAGTGAGATAATTTGCCAATGGAACAAGACAATTTGCATTTAAAATAAGAAAAAGCAACCACATTGTCTTATTTCAAGTGCATATTATCTAATAATCTTATTTTAAGAGTAAAAATACTCATTCCATTGGCAAATCATCCCATTTACCTACTAAAATTAAAGGTACATACACTTGATCTAAGAAATTTTAACTTATTTCTAGCTCCTTTTTGCATTGTAGTAACTCAAGTTTTCCCATGTAGAGATTTAAGACATTTTTACTTATGTCTAGACCATTTTTGCTGTGTGGATGATCTAGTGAACTGTCTTGAGATGACATGTGTTGTGAATTGGCGCTATAGAAATAAACTGAATTTAATTGAATTCAAATTGGTCAGTTTCTATTTGCATGTTTTCAAATCAAAAACAAGGCTTTGTTGGGCTACTGTATAAAACCTCGAACTCAACGCCATTCCTGGCATTCTGAAATGCAAAAAGCTTCCTGGATGGGAAGCGAAACGTCTTTAAACTTGGAAACAAAGTCCAGTGGATTGTTTTTAATTTTCTTTTTTTGGAACTTTATTATCTTATTTCAAGCTGAAAATATCCAACTATCTTATTTTGAGGAGAAAAAGTCAATCCATTGCAGATTTTATCTGCTCAAATTAAGGGCAAATACACTTTTTTTTTTTTTACAATTCGTTTTTTGCCTATTAGTGGTACTGACAGCAACATACCACCCCCCCTTCACACTATATTTCGTTCCCACTTCTAACCTGCACACTAATGGTAGGGATTGCTCCTACCAACATGCATACATAAAAGACAAACTCTCCTGAAGCAGCAAAGTCTTTGTCTTGACTTGAGGGAGCCGCAGCCACGCGCGCAGCCATGTCCTAACGCATGGAGGCACCAACAGTATGAGCAGAGCCGTGTCCTGACTTGCCTGGTGATAACGTTCGTTACCGCAGGCCAGATATCTCCGCACGCTTCAACTGGCTCAGCTCATCACACCTCAGCCTGGATGGGACGGTCTGACAGATCAGCGAATGCGTCAACTCGTCCTCTCCATGACTTCCTCCACACAGTTAGATTTCCACCAGCTTGTCTGAGGGAAACGTCCCCCCAGCCCTACATGAACTCTGCATTTAGATTCTCTTTAAGAAAGCTTGGATCACTTTCCCATAAACTACAAACAATTTAGTTTGGGACAATTCCCTTGGTGTGTTACTCTGACCTAGTTACATAAATCTGCAAAGCTGGCAGTCTTCTGCATGCATGTCCAAGAGTGAGGATAATTGAGCTGTCATTCTATTTACTCATCAGTAAATGAATGGAATTGCAAAAATAAGGTACTTTGTGGTTATTTTTATTACTGTTTTTATTGTTGATTTGATATATTAGCGTAATTATTTCTATTTTTTTGTATTATTTTCATTAATGTATTTTTTTATAGTGTATTTTTCATTTATTCCTTATAACTATCATATTTTATTTATCATATTACTATAATCAATTTATTTTTTACTGATAGTTTAAAGAGTCGACTGTCTGAATGATTTGTTCACTATGCAGACAACTGTATGAATCACCGGGAAATTACAGTAAAGAAAAGACATCTGCCTCCAGCCAAGCCAGGAGTGACAATGGTCCATTCAGACACTTGACACGGTGTCTGGGCCCCGGCGGCGGCGTGGCAGCAGGCCCGGCGTGGGGCTCCAGCAGAGCGCGAGGAGATGCCACGCCGTTTGAACTGAAAGCGTCGCAGCTCATCTGTGCAGCTCTGCAGAGAGAGACGGTCATCCGTCGGAGGCTTCAGAGGCAGAGCCCGTCGCTCCCTCCTGCTCACTCCAATAAAGCCTTTACTGGCACAAGTTCAAGTTTATGTTCATAGTGATGTTACATCAAAGTCAGCCTGATTCACTCTAAATCATTTAGCATTGAAGTAGATTAGACAATAATTAAGGAACACCAAGGCTGCTGAGCAGCTTGAGCAGCGCCTGGCAGCCCATCAGCGTTAACACAATAGGACCAGGATCTTTTGTTCTCGCCGCTAACTCCTAGCATATACTCATTATTTTATAAAACTTAATCTAAAATGTTTTCCCACTGCTATAAACTAGAAAGTAATCCCCGGAGAATGCAATTGGGGTTTTACTAGACTTTGGATACAAGCACAAGTTTTAGCACACGACTTGGAAAAAAACAATAAAAATGACTAATTAAGAAGGCGTGTGCTGCTGTGATGAAAATAACCAGAGTTTTCATCTCTACATGGGAAAACTTGAGTTACTACACTGCAAAAATTATCTAGAAATAAGTTAAAATTTCCTAAATGATTTGTATTTACCCTTAATTTGAGTAGGCAAATCAGATACTTTGCCAATGGAATTAATATTTTTACTTTTAAAATAAGATAATTAGATAATATGCACTTGAAATAAGACAATGCAATTGCTTTTTCTTATTTTAAATGTAAATTGTCTTGTTCCATTGGCAAAGTGTCTCACTTACTTCCTCAATTAAAAAACAAATACACTTAGTTTAAGAAAAAAACCTTCCCATTTATCTATAAAATGGCTAAATTTATCTCAGCATGTTGAACATAGGCAGGATATTACATAAATTTAGGAGCATCAGATAAAATGAAACATACAATCTTATCCAGACAGGGGTGTGTTAAAACGCAGAAGACAAAATGCTAAAGGTTGAGAAAAATGGAAGAAGCAGATTCCCGTTACACTGGAAAACAAAATCAAAATATAGATAAGTCATTTATTCTTGAAAGAAGTGCATTTTTTCTTGGATTAAGGAGGTAAAAGAGACATTTTGCCAATGGAACAAGACAACTTCCACTTAAAATAAGAAAACACTATTGCTTTGTCTTATTTCAAGTGCATATTATCTAATTATCTTATTTTAAAAGTAAAAAATACTCATTCCATTGGCAAAGTATCTGATTTGCCTACTCAAATTAAGGGTAAATACAATTCATTTAGGAAATTTTAACTTATTTCTAGTAGGGTTGTCAAAAGTATCGAGACTCAAAAAAGTATCGATACCAAAATGTTGTATCCGGATACAATACTCGTTTTTAAAAGTATCGATACAGTGCCACAGTGCTTTGTTTCTTAACCAGTTTGGCCAGTGTCACTGTCATTGTTATGTGTGCAAAGCATAGCCAAGGAAGGAACACTTAATTTTAATTTTATAAGTTTTTTATCAAGCTTGCTTAATATTGTGCACAGCATACAACCTCAAAATATTGTTCTTATTGTTTATTGTATTTATTTATTGTATTTTATTTATTAATGAAAATATTGCTG